ATTATTTTTGAAGTTAGCTTTCTAGCACCTCTTCGAAGCTAGAAACGATATTTGTTAAGGGTAGTTACTTGTGTAATCTTACGTTCTTAAAAAGTTCTCTAAACCATATAAATAAGTTACCCGGGCAATTGATTTACATTAGCCAATCAGACGAATTTCTGTCTATGACCTCTAACCCGGGGCAACGCCCGGGCCCTGAGAGCTAGTTACCTGATACAATACTAAATAAACTCAAAAAACAATTTTATTACTAGAATCTAAAATATGACAATAATGGAACAGCTTATCAGATAAAGATACGACAAACAAATGATTTTCAAGTTACACTTGTAACAATCAATTTCTTAATAATAGAATACAAGGACTTAACCCTTATTTAGAAATTACCCGCAACACAATTCCGGCCACCTTAAATTTAACCATAGCCCAAGCAATTATTAGTAAATTTTGGAAAATTCGCAGGAAACCAGAAATTCGGGCAATTTGCCTCAAACACGATTTAAAGGATAACTTTACTCTTTTATATTAAAATTTTTTATTAAATTATAGTGTTTGTTACGCTGGTGTAAATTAATAAAGTTTCCATTAAAATAAGTTATATATACATCTTAAATTTAGAATTAGTAGATGTTGCAGCACTTTTAAAAACGCCTGAAATATTATCAAGTCCAGTGCAGTGTAGGAAATCTGATGCCTTTAATATTCTCTGAGAAAATCTACGTAATTTTTAATTTTTTATTAATAAACATATAAAATTAAATTGCTTGAGAACATTAAAATCAGGTTAGATTTCCAACACTGGACTAACCTATTATTTCTATTATCAATCATCTAAAGAAATGGAATACGCTGTTGTAGTCATCACAAAGATGTTGTATGCCGTACTTGCAATGTCGGCAAAAGTGTAAGTTGGTAAGTCAAAGATCACAATTCCAACTATTCGGTAAACACACATTGCTGTGAGTTGTACTATATCAATAATAAGTAGAGTAGATTGATGACTAATATTACTTAATTTTTCATCATTGCCTTCAGCGCCTTTCTCCTTATTATATATTATATAATAAAATCCAGACATTAGAAGAATGTAATAAATACGGAAGAAGGAATGTAATCCATCTCGCACCTTATAGATAGTAGGCATGCCAAAGCAAATAGAACTACAATAAGATTCTTGACAAGCAGTACTTTGAATGATGCTGATTATGAAAATAAAAATCAATTCTAAGAAACGAATTATAAGAATGAAATTGTGAAAACTATAAAAGACAATTTGTCTAATATCTCTAAAAACTACTGAAAGTAGTAAATAAGCAAGATGCAGTAGGAGTGGCTTTGACATTATGTAAAAAAATTGAATAATTGGATATATCCAAGAATATAATTGTACAAAAGAATGTTCAGAACAATTATTAACGTTTACTACATTCACAGGAATGCAATCTGAAATATTCCTTTCTGAAATGCTTGAACAGCGTGAGCTTGCAACCAATAATAATGGAAGCAATATTTCATTGATTAATAACGCAATATTTATGGGAATTAGAAGCCAATAAGCTTTGGAATTTCTTCCACTTATTCTGATTTTATTCATTAATACGCCTCGAGTGAATGAGTATGAAGTCAGAGTAAATCCTATAATGATAAAACATGCCGAGATAAAGGTTTCTAGAGGACTAACATCCGTGACGTCTTTCATTATGCTAAGTTTGTGTAGTTATTATAAATTTTATTATATATAGTCCTCAATGATAAAAATTTGCTACTATGAAATAAGAAAAAAAGTGATATTTATTAGAATTTTTCTAACATTAACATACTAATAAATATGTACGTACGTACGTACGTACGTATGTCCTAGTCTCAAAATATTTACATATGTTTGTCGCTCAGAAAAAACATCACGACTTTATGTAAATAAATTAGTACATATATGGATAAATTTTGTATCGCGATAGATCTACATGTAAGCATTATATAGAATTGGTATCCGCACAATAACTTATATGTAACGTTAATTAAATGCTTTGTTTTGGTTACATTGATATTTTTGCTCATGATAAAAAAAAAAAAAAAGACTAATTTAGAATATCGCAATGTTATAATCAGGAAAGTAACTTTAATAAGTAGCTTTAATCCAATGCTATTCCCACATTCTGATCACGGTTTTTTTGGATATAGTCAATCAAAAACGGTAAAGTACATAAACCCAAAATTCCCATGTATTTTTTTCTTTTGATTTTTAGCCATCGATATGTCTACCAAAGCGGTAAAGTGCACAAACTAGAAATTCTCACAACGACCATGTTTTTTGGATATGGCCAATCAAAAACGTTAAAGCACACAGACCCAAAATAGATAGATATAGATTTCTCGATACTGATAATTGAATCGATAAGTTTTTTGATGTTGGCAACGTAAATATGTAACTTATTGATTCAGGCTCGATTTGGTCATTAAAAAATTCTCAGCTGTGCTGTAATGTATTATAGAACATGATCGGATTTATAGTTGGCAGTAGAATCCATAAAAGAAAATTTAAACAATGATTGCCGATCATTTTCATTGTTAAAATTTTTTTTTTGTTAGCGATATCGCCAAAGGACGCCATTGGCGTTCTTTTCTTTTATTTACTTTGTGTCTTATTTTACATTGCAGATAGATACTACATTGCTCCTATTTGTAAACATATTGTCAAGGTATAAAGATTATTTTTCTAGACCTTTATGTGGTTGAGTATACTTTGGCTGATTGGAAATTTTCTTTTTCGAATTCTACCACTAACTATAAATCGGATTACTCTTATTCAAAAGATCATAATTGTCATAATTATTGTTGTAGATCATAATGAAATCAGAGTTAGGAGTTAGGGATGGAAAAAAAAACGTTTTAAACAGTTTTAGATGTTTTAAAGCATTGGCGCTGAGACTAAAATTTAAAATTTAGGTTAAAATTCCGATTCACCAAATTTCATAGAGATAACTTTAAAGAAAAAATATTTACTTTATAAACTTTCGTTATTATATAATTACAAGAAATGCGCAATTGCTTAACTGTATATATATATTTTTTCTTTCTTTTTTTTTTTTTTTTTTTGTACGCTCTTTTAATATAATTTAATGTAATTATAAAGTCAATTATTAGTCATCATCGTCTTCAAACCAACCATCAATCTCAATTCCTTTTTGAATTCTCGAATTCTGATAGACTGTAACAAGTTTTTTTACCCGTTCATTATCTAGACGTGCACGATGTTTATTATGAATATACCCAAAGTTAGACCAGCAACGTTCTGCTGCACTGTTATCTCATCATCATTTGAACCGGAGGCTTGATTATCAGCATTATTTAATAAATTTTCATACTTTTTGGAATCCTTTTGCATCTATATAAGTGATCCTTTAATCGAGCGATTAAATCCACAAAGTCCTCTCCCCAGTAGTTACACTTTTTAGCGTGGCGTAATCCGACCATGTTTGTCAGTTTCCATAACTTTTGTAAAGTTCAAGCGAATTGCTTTTAATGGAGGTCTCCCACGGCGCATGACTGTTTATGATTTTATATTTTAAAAAGAGATAACGATAAAGTTGTATTTTGATGAAATTAATTAAATAAACACTACCCCATTGTTACGTATTATTATTACGTCAGAATGTATTAAAAAACATGTTTTTAAACATTTCGTTTTAAAACATTTTCCATCCCTATTAGAGATCTCAATTTAAATATTTAAGCTATACCAAAATCTACTTATACTCTTTTCCTGATAATTCTAACCCTAAACCCTACCTTAACTATAAAAAAAACCTAACAAAAAAGGCCCAAAAAATTGGACATAAAATAAGTTAAATTTAATTATGATCTGCCACAATATCTAATCATGATAGAAAACATGAAATTCTCGTCTTAATTAGAAAGCAAATAAGTCTTGTAATAGAATTCTTTTCAGTAACTCATTAGTAAATCATGTTAGTTTCAATACAAACCAACTCAACATTATTATGGTCACCAAAATAGTAAGTAAGTTCTGTAATGAAACTTTTAAATAAGTTATAACAATTTCGATACAAATTAACTCACTTTAACGCTGAAATAGCGAATAACTTCTGCAATAAAATTATTTATAGTAACTCATAATAGAATGCATGACGAGCATATTCTGTAGTAAAAATTTTTTAACAACTCGTGATAAAAATCATGTTAATTCTAACTCAAACTTATCTACATACTGTGATCACTGGAATGTAAATACTGTAACAGAATTTTTTACAGCAACTGACAATAGAAATAATAATAATTCTAATGCAAACTAAATTACATATGGTTGTCATCGTATCACACTAGTGAAGGATAATATGATGAATAATATAGAACGCATTGTAATGAGAGACAATATAGAATAATTAATTATAAATAAAATGAATTAACAAAAAATAAGACAAGAAGTTATCTATTTAATTGTAATAAAAATATTGAAATAATAAAATTTTATACATAACCTAAAGTGTATATAAATCTTGTCCAAAAAATTTGCACGAATATAACACTACAAAATATCAAATAATGTGTAAAGACTACAAAATAAACATCAATCAATTTTTATCATCATTAATACAAAGCCCTATTTACTATAAATTATTATAATATGAAATCGATAAAAATTTAAGATTTGCACTAACGCTAAGATTATACTACATAGTTATTAATTATTGTCGGGGATGATGCTGAAATTGGCTGATGCTGAGATTTAGAGTCCCCATTTAAATCTATAATACCTACTAAAATTCATATATACTTTTTTACTAACAACACTAACCCTAAACCCTAACCTAACCCTAAAAAAAAACCTAATGAAAAGGCCCCAAAAATTTTTTAAAATTTCATAATAAAATAGGTCAAAATTTCAGCATCATTCGATTTTAGCTTCATCCTCTACATTATTTTTTTGAATCTTTGTTTTAAATATTTTTTAAAAATCTTTATTTAGCTTTAAAAAATATAAATTTAAATTTAAAAATGTTTGAGAGCCACCAATATGTAATAATATATATTTTTATTTAATGCTTTACTATAATCATTTCAGCAACAAAATTAATAGCTTTTTTTAATATAAGTCTTTTAATGTTTTATAAATAATACAGTAAATAATTAATATATAAAAGAATATATTAATATAAACATTCTTATCTTTGATTCTTATTTTTCCCAAGTTGTTCTAGTAAATATTAGCAATACAGCTTTTTATATTTTGATTTGAAGCTATTAATAATATCTATATCTATAGGTTGCAGATACAAAATGGTGTGGGTATAGGTAGGGGCAAAATTTATTTTTAATTTTTTTAATTTCAACAATAATTTCAATATTTTTAATATTTTTATAAATTAAATATCAAATAACTATTTTATTTGATTTGGTTTAATTTTAACTAACTTTTAATATAATTTAAATTAATTTTTAATAATAAAAAACTAATTTCACCAATTTCACCATTAAATAATTTCAACAATTTCAACAAAACTTTTTATTAAGAAAGGTAATTTCACCCCATCTATAGCTACGATTATTCATAGCCAATTTGCTAAATACTGATAAGATTTTTTATTTTTGAGTTTTTAATTAAAGTTGTTCAGAATTAAATTCTGTTCATCTTATAAGTGAAAAGAACGATACCTTCTCTTGGACTCGGAATTTTAAAATTTATTAATGCCATAGCCGGCTGTGACGATAACAAATTTAAAATTCCGAGTTCCAGAGAAGGTATCATTCTTTTCACTTATAAGATGGCATGAACAGAATTTAATTCTGAACAACTTTAATTAAAAACTCAAAAATAAAAAAATCATCTCAGTATTTAGCAAATTGGCTATGAATAATCGTAGCCGTTCGTAGTCGAACCAATCCCTACTTCTAATCAACCATTGGAGTTAAACTCGGCATGACGATGCTTACAGTAGACTCTTTTTTGAATGAAATTTCTAGTCTGTGCCTCGTCAACCGCTCTGTACTTTGTAATTTTTATTTCGTAAATCATAGATGTAATAGTGACGTTTTCACCTCTTTATAGAATTCAAGGGACGCGGCGTTTATAGTATGGATAGTGATGTGCCGCGTACAGTACTATACGTACTATACGCTAAATTTTGCCGATCACTTGTTCCAGCCAATCAGACGCCAGAAAAGAACTATACGTACTGTACGTGCTGTACGCTAAATTTTCCATGTATCATAAATGGCACATCACTAAGTATGAAGACTACAAACTTGTGATTTGACTATAGGTTGGAGTGTCGAATGAACGACTTATTAAAGAGGTTTAGTAAGCTTTAACGAAAGAGGCAAACAACTCAATTGTATATGAAGATACAAAGGGTCGTAATATAGAATTTATTACTAGTATTAATAGTTATAATCCACGAAGTCACGTGATTTAGATCACTATGTTGAGAGTGAAATTTAACGTGCATGAAGACATGGTTGACTTTATTTAATGTCGCGGTTGATGCTGAAATTCATGGTCCCCATTCAAATCTATAATACCTACTAAAATTCACATATACTTTTTTTACTAACACTAACCCTAACCTAACCCTAAAAAAATCCCTAACGAAAAGGCCCAAAAAAATTTTAAAATTTCATAATAAAATATGTCAAAATTTCAGACATTTAATAATATGACAAATAGAGGTGGTAAAATAA